AGATAACATCTGATATGAATTTATTTACCTATGATAACTGAGATATAGACATTTAGAAATGAGGGGAGAAAAAAAATTGAAAATTTCCAAAATGCTTAAAGATTGCGAATTGTGGCAGCATTTCTTTTTTATTATTATTTTTTTTTTTTTTTTTGTATGGGAGGGGGTGAGTGTGGGTGGGGGTTTTAGGTTTATATCTTATTATGTCACTGAGTTTGTTTTGTTGGTGTTGAGAGTTGTTACTTGTTGTCAAGTATACTGAGGGTTATATTAGAAGTGCTCAGGGCCAGGGGATGGGGAGTGGGCAGTGGTTACAAAGGCACGAAGAGGGTTTGGGCCAGTGTCACAACTTGCTGTTAGATAAGTGCACTATACATATCAAGAAATACAAAACAGAATTTTTGGGCACCTTCAATAATATGAATTAAATGTTAGAACTTTTTCTAAGCTATTTTCGGAAACATGAAATGATTAATAACCTGACAAATAAACTACCGAGATATGGTGGCTATTTTTAAAACACATACAATTTCAGACTAGCTCTCCAACTGCCTTTTAACAAATTACTTCTGTTTCAGCTAATTAACTTTTATTGAGAAAATAATCAACTTTAATTGAATAACATGCACCAACGCAGTATTGATTATCGGGGTTTTCTGCTTACTGTAAGGTCAAAGGTCATTTCTACTATTTCTGGCTATTTGTTTTTCAAGCATTTCATCTGTCCCATTCTTCGATTTGTAAAATACACATGTAAATTTAATTGGCTCGCAGCATTTTCTTTAGGATAAATTTCATTATACCTTTTGCTAGTCGATTCATTGAAAGCTATATTTAAGTGATTTGGTTCAATATTTTTTTTAAACCCATTGCATACATCCCTTTCATGATAAAAATAAAAGTTCCATTATAGATCAATTTATGGTATATTTTATACATATTTTAATGTGCAGGGCCAAAAAACCCTTCTTTGTAGGGGCCGAATATAGGCTACTTCCCCAACCAAACTAACTGCTTTTTTTCCCCAGTTTGGTCCTTAAAATTCCCCAGTCTTTTGAAATTTCCCATAGAATTTAGAACAAAATTTAAATGATGTGTTGAATTAAGGATTTTGACTGCCTTATTTGTATTTCCCAGTGCTTTTTGCTTTTCTATTTTGAAGAACTTGTTAAAAGTTTGTGGTTAAAATTTAAAGACCCTTTTCCAAAGTATTTGCCAAAATCACGCATATTTTCCCCAAGAAAAAGGCTGAGGTCCCTTCCCCAAAAATGGTGTTTTGGCACTGATGTGTTAAATGAATGTAAAAGCCATAAAAACAAGTACAGCACAAATTACTTCTGTGGCTGATGAATTGACTCAAAATTGAAAAGTGTATAATACTCCATTCACATCTAAGAATCCCTGTTAAAATAAGATTTTAACACATTTTCTATAAAGAAAACAAATCTTGTTTATACCATTATAATATTAGTGAAAGACCGGGAGAGTGCATGGGGATAATGGTCGATTTTCCGTTATGTGCAACTTCTACAATTTTGAATAGGTTTTAACTTATTATGCCACCCTTGGAAGAAGTGGGGGTATATTGTTTTGCCAATGTCGGTCTGTCTGTCTGTTCGTCGGTACACCATATGGTTTCCGCTGATTATCTGAAAAAAACTATTTATCACAAAGTCTTCATATTTCACATAGTGATTGGTCATAATGAGTAGATGACCCCTATTGATTTTGGGATCACTAGGTCAAAGGGGCATTATATGTCAGAATGGTTTCCACTGATTATCTTCAAAACTATGCATCACAAAGTCTTCATATTTTACATAGTGATTGGTCATAACAAGTAGATGATCCCTTTTGATTTTGGGGTCACTAGGTTAAAGGTCAAGGTCACAGGGGCCTTAAATGTTAGAATGGTTTCGCTGATTATCTTGAAAACTATGTATCACAAAGTCTTAATACTTCACATAGTGATTGGTCATAACAAGTAGATGACCCCTATTGATATTGGGGTCAAAGGTCAAGGTCACAGAGGCCTTATATGTCAGTATAGTTTTTGCTGATTATTTTAAAAAGTATTCATCACAAAGTTTTCATATTCCACATAGTGATTAGTCATAACTTGTAGATGACTCCTATTGATTTGGGTCACTAGGTAAAAGGTCAAGGTCACAGGTGCCTTAAATGTCAGAATGGTTTCTGCTCATTATCTTGGTTACTATTTATCACAAAGTCTTCATATTTCACATATTGATTGGTCATAACTAGTAAGTGACCCCTATTGATTTTGGGGTCACTAGGTCAAAGGTCAAGGTCACAGGGTCCTTGAATGGTAGTATGGTTTCCGCTCATTATCTTGAAAGCTATTTATCACAAAGTCTTCATATTTCTAATATTGATTGGTCATAACTATTAGATGACCCCTATTGATTTTTGGTCACTAGTTCAAAGGTCAAGGTCACAGGGGCCTTAAATGTCAGAATGGTTTCCGCTCATTATCTTGAAAACTATCACAAAGTCTTCATTATTTTTTTTTTTTTCATAACTGAACACTTCCATGTACCCCTTTATGGCAAGTTTCTATAACAAAATAACCAATAATGTGAGTCAAGGGCTAGAAAGGGGGGCATATGTGTCATTCGATATTTCTTGTTTTAGTCACATTAAATATAGTATATCACATGTAACTTGTGCATTTATTGCTTTGTCACTGTGGACACTTTTTTACGGCAAGCAGAAAATTGCAAGGGATGTTCACTGGACAGACATCATGACAAATCACTGTGGACAATTAATAAAATTCGCTCCAATCAGCAGTGGAAAATCACTTTTTAGGTCTTTCAAAGTTTTTATTTCTGTCACATCTGAAATTTGTTAAGTAATATAGTCAGTCTCGAAAGTAATACATGTACAGTCTTTCAAATATCACTGTTTCTAAAATGAGACTTATAATAAAGTAATCTAGAATATTTTCACGGACAATGTGCTTTTATCGTTAAGTAATGTACATCTCCGTTAGTGGAAAATACCATCTTGGGAGGCATTATGTACAAGTTGTAGACAGCTAAACTTGACAAGCTGAGCTTTTCGACCTTAAGTGCAGACGAAATTTCTTGCTACTGAAGGTGCTAAATTGACATCAGTGTGGGAAGGAAACTTTAACATTTAGTTCTCTCTGACCTTTAGTTTTGGTGGAATAGACTGGAGAAGTTTGAGGCAGGATTGAAAGTGATGGCAATGTATATATAAGGAAGAGAGTTACATGCATTTTTCATGTGATTTTGATGTACAAAATTTAATGTAAGAATGATACACTCTCACTCTGTAATATTAGAATAATGATGCTTTGTACTAAAATTTGACCTGGGTACTAGTATGCAATTTAGCATTATTTTTCCTTCCTGTTATTTGTACTGATTTACTAAATATGTACATAGAAGAAGGTAAAATGTTAGGTGAGAAATTGCTAATTATTATTCAGTTTATGATCATTACATACATATAGTACAGGGGCCAGATTGAGGCTGTTGCTGAGTGGTTAAGGTCTCTGACTTCAAATCTCTTTGCCCCTCACTGCTGTTGTTTTGAATCCTGAGTCAGGGACTTTGGATTCTTTCATGTGAGAAAGCTATCCCGGTAGCTCTGTGCACTCTTCACATGATTCCAGTTTGCAGCAAGGATAATGCAAGAACAGGCACCTGAGGTCTTACCATTCATCAGTGACGCTCGAAAGTCAAGTTATGGTGTTTTTATGTACCAACAGAACACTCAGAAACCCAACACATCAAACAAAATTACATGACCATTAATTGCTGTACAATTAAGATATAAATAATGCCAGGGATGATCTTGAGCATAACTCATTTATTTTTATACGAAAAGTGTATACATGTACTTCACTTGAGCCAGGCAACAATGTTTCCTTACAAAACTTGATATCAGTAGTTAAGTTCAAGCCTAACTTGATTTACAAGAATGTTTCCTTATTATAAGAAGCAGGAAGCTGATTCTGAAATGATATGTATTATAAACTTGTATATACGTTACTTCATTTGTTTAGTTTTTACTGCAACTCTTTGATTTTAAATCTATATGGAACTAAGCAAGCAGGAAATTCTTTATTGAACTTAAATAAACAAAATGCCTGTGAAATAAATTGTCATAGACTTAGTTCATTTAATCTTTGCAATCCCACCAAGATCTTGCTTCAATTATGGAAGACCTTTACCGCCATAATTATTAAGCTCACCTAGTCAGACATTGTATTTAGTTTTACATGTGTACATAATCAACTGCTCAAATTGTAGTATTTCTATATTGACAGTCCTGCAATTGAGAATGGACAGCCCATAATTCACCAGTCCATAAACAGATTGTTATAGTTGATATGTGTTTACAATATTGAACAGCCAGTCTCCTGTGAATTTTGTTTTTGTTTACTGAAAAGGTCGTCCATGCAATTGATATGTATCTACAAATGTATATCAATATTAGTGCATTAGTAGTCTGTAAATTATTTATGTGGTAACAATAATTTTGTTTCATGTTATGAATCATATGGCATTTTATATTTATTGCATGTTTTCTGTATTGTCTGGTTGATTCACAATTTTAAAAAACGGGCCCGAAAACTTTAAAAAACCCAAATCCATGAGAGTGTTTGGGGATACTTTTTACGGACAGAGAGACCTGCTAAAATTTAAATACGGCATTTGGGTTTGGCATAATTTTCATTCCCAAAAAAAAAAAACCCAAAACATATTGGAATTTGTAACAGTTGTTACAATCATTTGAAAATTGTACACAAAAAGGGTTTTTAAAGTCCAAACTGTAGGATTTATTGTAAATCCAATTTGATGAAGGCTTTTGTTAAAAGACTTTTTGTTTCACAACAATAAATGTCATTACAAGTACCAACCCCTCTTGTACATTCTCACAGGCTTATTCAAATATTTGTGAAGATGTCAAATTACTAAAAAGTAAACTCTTTTATATTTTTTCAGGACTCAACTCCAGTATTGAGTAAATCAAGGACACAGAAGTTTCATAAGCTGTTCAAAACTGTGCCGGAAAATGAGTATCCAGTTGATTGTAAGTCAGATTTATTTGTAAATTTACTTGGGTTTGTAAGTAAAATTAATTTTTAAATTAAAGGGTTTCATTTTTAAATTAGTTAATTGTAATTTAACAAAAATTTCATTTTTTTAGAATTATTTTGTAAATTAAAACTTTCTTTTTAAGGGGTTAATTTTTTAAATTTTCAAGCATTGATTTTTTTTTTGATTGAAAAGCATCATAACAAAGCTTTCTTTTTAAAAAAAAAGAAATTTATAGTGGTGAGCTTCTATTCTTTTTTAGTAGAAAATTTATTTTTATTTACTAAAAGACCCAAAGAGCCCCGCCACGAAAAAAAAAAAACATAAAAGGGGTTTTCGACAGCATGGGCCAGCCCGCCCCGCATCCCCGCAGTTGATAAGGGGAAGTGTTCCTTTAAATCCTAAACAAATAAAAAAATGAACGAACAGGCTTTGGGTGCGGGGGCCCGTTGGATCCATTGCCCAAAGTTTTGGTTTTTGTACGCGGCCCTTTATTTTTTTGTTTAACCCAGATCTCTCCCTCCCCAACTTGCCCCAGCCCCCCCAAAGAATAACTATTACAGTCTGTTATATAGGTTGTGGTAATTGACTGTTGGTTTACTGGACAAATATTTTTTTTTTTAAATGATTAAATGTGGTTTATATGATAATAATAAACAATTTTGCAAGTTTTGCTTTTATGAATTCCAACGTTCACTTTGAAGATATAGTAGCTAAATATTTGCAGACTCATGTTTACTCAGGGAATTAGGATCTGACAGTAACTTGATGCCATTATTTGATATCATAATGGCATATTTGATGCCATAATGACAAATACATGGTATATTATTTGGAGCATTGTATATCATAGGTTTCCCACTTGACACTAAAAAAAAATTAGAACGCCAGTTATGATGTGATTTATTGCTACAAGTTGCCACAATTTTTTTTTTATATATCATAATGCAACATTATCTGTCATATTTTTACTCCATATATTTTAATTAATTGACAGTTTGTGTCTCAAAATTTTTAAATAACAAAGATGACATTTTGTATTTTACAGACTTCTCGTGCGCGTATATCGGAGATATCCTATTACAAGGAAACTTGTATGTCTCTCAGAACTGGTTCTGTTTTTACTCAAGAATCAGGGGACGTGGGCGATTGGTAAGTAAGATTTCCAGAGGGAAAACATTTAAATTGATATTTTACCTTTTTAATCTGTTACAAATTTGTAGCCCTAAAGTTTTCTTACTATAACATGCTGTGGTTTTACATGTGCACAATCTGCGCTTCTAAAGTAATTTATATTAATCCTGACCACCCTAAATATTTTAAATGGACTCATCCATATGTTTCAATTTGGATAAAACCATTCATCATGTGTATGGAAATTTGTAAATTTGTACTCAAGTGCATCTGTGTTCCTATAACTTGCACTTGATACTGTATTAATCACTTAATGCATGCGTTTTGATATAAATTTCCTATGCTGTTTACAGGAAAGGAAATTCCACATAATTCTTCAATAAATCTTTTTGATATTCCATGAAATCAAATACTTTGTATGGGAAAAATGGTGTATGAATCACATGTGATCACTGTTATATAAATAATGATTCCAGAAGAGTAAACATTGTGATCAAATTAATCAATTTGTGCATGAAACAAATGCAAGGAAACCACAGAGATATGAATGTGTTGAAATCCACATAAAGACCTGGGGGGAAATTAATGCAGAAAAATATAATTTAGTAAATTGAAGTTCCTATAAATCGTTTGATGGCTACAGAATTGACCTTTGCACACTCAGAGTAGCAGGTACATCTGTGATAATGTTAAGTGTTTGGTCAGTCCATATTTTGAATGATGAATGGTTTTGTCCAGATTGAAAGATGGTCAATTCCTTTTAATATATTTTGCATGGTAAGAGTAGAAACTAAGGCCCAAAAGCCTTAAAAAAAAACAAAAAAAACTAAGGCAAAAACAAAACAAAAAACTGAGGTCCAAAAGTCTTAAAAAACAAAACAAAACAAAAACTGAGGTCCAAAAGCCTTAAGAAAAAAAGAAAATCTCTCAAAGATCAATTAGGGCTCATAAAATATGCAAAAGATGATAAATAAATATGATTTTTTACAATTAAGTAGATAATGGATTTTTTTGTGTGATTTGAGTTAAAAGTGTTAAATACTTTTCATTGTTTGGTTATTTTGGACAATTTAAATGATTATTCTTGTAAAACAGATTGGGGGAATGATCTGAAATGTTGCACACAAAGTAATGGTCCCGACCAGTATATCAGATGGTACCAAAAATATATTCCAGACTGCTGACTGGAATCCCTGTAGAGCCATAGTGCTATATTCACTGAAATGAAACAAAGAATCTTTCAGCAAGAATGAATAAAATATTAGTATAAAATAATCATTGCTGTCCAAAATTGTTTGAATATTAAAGAATCTGACTTGTGTATCATTTCTTATTCATGAATTAGCAACGCGAGTATCCCCTCTGAATTCCATATAGGTAAATGAATTATCAGTTTGTACTTTTAGTCACTTTACTAACTTAAGTCACTTTACGAAGCGGAACATTTCACGGGTGATTCTGAAAGTTGGTCATAAATTCGTTTTACGATACATATATATATCTCATGAACTTTTTTTTCTCACAAATGAATACAAGTGTATAGTTATCACCAATAAATGATGTCAAGCTGATCGTAACATTCCCCGATATCATTGGCAGAAATGACATTGATTTTCCCACTAAGCAAGAATTGCCTAAGCTGCGAGATGAAAAATCACTTTGCCAATAATTTTTTTCTTTCCGTATCAGCTCCTCTAGATATCTATTTATATAGTGATGGAATAATCTGTTACTGATTGTTTGTTAAGATTTCTTAAATTAGAAAAATGCTAAGTACAATTACAGGTCAATCTTCAGTTCCATTTTATATTATGTGTGGGCCTACATAGAAAACCTAATTAAATAACAAATACAATTTTTTATTTCTTGTAATCAGATTTCAATTATTTTTCTGAGTTTTGCGAAGACCTGGGCCGTTTGATCATGGTCTCCTCAGGTTTGTTGGTGCTACATAATACCAAACAACCCCTCCCCCAATATTAAAAGGGAAATTGGAACAAAAAAAGAATCTTATTATCATTATTCTTTTTATTGTTATCTTCATAATCATTATTATTATTATCATTATAAGTAGTAATATTCTCAATGAAATATAATGAAATAAATTTAACATTACTTGCTAAGTATATATTGCTAACAGAGAGTAAGACATACAACCTTATGCAGTTTGAACAAATTTGACGGAAAACATCATCATCACTTTTTGCGTTATTTTTCTTGTTGACGTCATTGACGTTATTTCATGTATGGATTTGTAAATAACAAAGTGTAAGAAAGAAAGAGGATTTATATGTGATTTAGAAAATAAACCCCATGAAAAGTTTGCGGTTGATGAACTTTGTGAAATAGATAGTTATTTGTCTAGATTGGAGGATGAGCATCTGTTTTATTATATTAAGCATTGTAAAGTTTTGAGATTCAAGTTTTATTGATATTTTTCAGTTGGAGATCCCTATGGACAGTGTGATCAGTATAACAAGAGAGAAAACTGCCATCATATTCCCTAATGCCATAGGACTTCAAACCAAAAATGACAAGGTATAGTCAACTATTGTATTATTCTTGAATGGTTTCTGCATTTGTTGAGTAGTAAGGTTGTTAAAGGCACATTATGCTTTGGATATCTATTTTTATTAAATTCTCTTGAAATTTCATACACGTGAATAAAGGATTAAAAGCATGTTGGATGCTAAACAGTTGAGGAAAGTAGCGCTGAATGTGCAGTAATGTTTCGTAAAAGTAGCAAAATGTAAACAAAGTAGTATACAAAATACTAAATCAATATAATAATATCAATGCCCAACAAGGCAAAAGGAGCAAAGATAGTTCATTTATACAGCAATTGAGTATTTGTTTGAAACTGTAACAAGATAACAAAAATAAAAAGTTTTTGGGGAAAAAAAAAAAGATTTCTGAGGCATACTCTGGGCCTTTAAGTGTAAAAGATTTTAAGCCCAAATCATGTGCTAAACACTATACTCCAGAAAAGTGTTATAAATCTAAATCTAATCCAAGATGATTGACTTACAATTATTATTATAGGGTTTTAACATTTGATAATTTTAGATTTTCTGCAGTCCTATTGCAAAATTATGTTCATCATTATATTAATGAGTCTGAAAATTGTGTTTTACCATTACCATTTGTGTAAGATTGGACTTTTCTATAATTGGACTTTTCTAGTTTCACTATGTGGTTTAATCATATTTATTTAAGCCTGATTGCCAAACAGGATCTTACAACTTATAATAATCACTTTCGAGTCCACTTCTGGAACCAACCAGTACTGGTGTCATATGAAGACCCATGGTCATGACTCATTAAGGGCTCGAACCCATGATCCATGGGTTGGGAGGCAAACACCATAACTACTAGGCCCCCGCTCCCCTTCAATTTGTGTATTCCATTAGCAATTTTAGGGGTTACCAGGATAAAAAACATTTATAAATTTGTGACCACTTAGCCTTATGAGACTGTATGAATGTGCCAACTAGCACAGTTCTATGCTGTTAGCCTCATAAGTTGGATGAAAAAAAATGACAACGTGATATTTGTTTAGTTATAAAATCTTTTGTTATAGATATTTCAAATTTCTGTTGAAATATTTGGCTATTACTTTAGTACATTAATTTTGTAATGTTTGTAATGATAATTATGGCCTTATTGTCATAGAAAATGAAAAACCTTGCAAAGTGTGTGAAGATAATGATAAAATACACATAATATTGTATGAACAACATACAATTTTGCTTGCTTTTCATTTTTTCATATTACATAATGAACATAGACTAATATTTGTTAGAAGTAAACTGTGCTTGTAAGGAAAACAGTGCCTAATAAAGTATATTAAATTTTGATTTTTTTTATTCACAGTATGCCTTTGGATCTTTTATATCCCGAGACAATACTTACAAGTTCTTTGTTAGCATGTGGAAGAAATCTCAGGAGGCCAAGGTATGGTATATTTTGTTTTTTATGCATATTCAGCCATTGTCTGAGTGGGACATTTAAGTTTAGAATCTGATTTGTTTTTGAAAAGCTAAGGTCCTGAAAATTCTGTTTTTAAAAAATTGAAAAAGTGTTGCAGCTATTTACTGTTTTGCTGCTATATTGTTCCCTGTTTTGCCAGTATCTTACGTAATGTTATGCCGTACAATGCATAGTATAATGCATACTGTTATGACGGTATATATCGCATACTGATTGCCAGAATATATTGCATATTGTTATGCCAGTATATATTGCATACTGCTTTGCCAGTATATATTGCATACTGCTATGCCAGTATATATTGCATACTGTTAAACCAGTATATATTGTATACTGTTATACCAGTATATATTGCATACTGTTATGCCAGCATATATTGCATACTGTCATGCCTGTATATTGCTTACTGTTTTGCCAGTATATATTGCATACTGCTATGCCAGTATATATTGTATACTGCTATGCCAGTATATATTGCATACTGCTATGCCAGAATATATTGCATACTGTTATGCCAGTATATATTGCATATTGTTATGCCAGTATATATTGTATACTGTTATGCCAGTATATATTGTATACTGTTATGCCAGCATATATTGCATACTGCTATGCCAGTATATATTGCATACTGTTATGCCAGTATATATTGCATACTGCTATGCCAGTATATATTGCATACTGCTATGCCAGTATATATTGCATACTGTTATGCCAGTATATATTGCATACTGCTATGCCAGTATATATTGCATACTGCTATGCCAGTATATATTGCATACTGCTATGCCAGTATATATTGCATACTGTTATGCCAGTATATATTGCATACTGCTTTGCCAGTATATATTGCATACTGTTATGCCAGTATATATTGCATACTGCTATGCCAGTATATATTGCATACTGTTATGCCAGTATATATTGTATACTGTTATGCCAGAATATATTGTATACTGTTATGCCAGTATATATTGCATACTGTTATGCCAGAATATATTGTATACTGTTATGCCAGTATATTGCTTACTGTTATGCCAGAATATATTGCATACTGTTATGCCAGTATATATTGCATACTGCTATGCCAGTATATATTGTATACTGTTATGCCAGTAAATATTGTATACTGTTATGCCAGTATATATTGCATACTGTTATGCCAGAATATATTGCTAACTGTTATGCCAGAATATATTGCATACTGCTATGCCAGTATATATTGCATACTGTTATGCCAGTATATATTGCATACTGTTATGCCAGTATATATTGTATACTGTTATGCCAGTATATATTGTATACTGTTATGCCAGTATATACTGCATACTGTTATGCCAGTATATATTGCATACTGTTATGCCAGAATATACTGCATACTGTTATGCCAGTATATATTGCATACTGCTATGCCAGTATATATTGCATACTGTTATGCCAGTATATATTGTATACTGTTATACCAGTATATATTGCATACTGTTATGCCAGCATATATTGCATACTGTCATGCCTGTATATTGCTTACTGTTTTGCCAGTATATATTGCATACTGCTATGCCAGTATATATTGCATACTGTTATGCCAGTATATATTGTATACTGTTATACCAGTATATATTGCATACTGTTATGCCAGCATATATTGCATACTGTCATGCCTGTATATTGCTTACTGTTTTGCCAGTATATATTGCATACTGCTATGCCAGTATATATTGCATACTGTTATGCCAGTGTATATTGCATACTGTTATGCCAGTATATATTGCATACTGTTATGCCAGTATATATTGCATACTGCTATGCCAGTATATATTGCATACTGTTATGCCAGTATATATTGTATACTGTTATACCAGTATATATTGCATACTGCTATGCCAGTATATATTGCATACTGTTATGCCAGTATATATTGCATACTGTTATGCCAGCATATATTGCATACTGCTATGCCAGTATATATTGCTTACTGTTTTGCCAGTATATATTGCATACTGCTATGCCAGTATATATTGCATACTGTTATGTTGATATATATTTTATACTGCTATGCCAGTATATTGCATACTGTTATGCCAGTATATATTTTATACTGCTATGCCAGTATATATTGCATACTGTTATGCCAGTATATATTGCATACTGCTATGCCAGTATATATTGCATACTGTTATGCCAGTATATATTGCATACTGCTATGCCAGTATATATTGCATACTGCTATGCCCGTATATATTGCATACTGCTATGCCAGGAAATTGCATATTTTTATACCGGTATATAGCGATGTATTTACTGTATAGCAAGATATTAAGTATGGGTTTTACTGTTTCATTGCACCACTACATGAAAGGACTGCAGTGATTAAATGTTTCAAAGAAGGTACACAAATTGGTATTGTTTGAGTTGATAATTAATGTGACAATTTTACATTTAGATCCCGTTTGGTGAAAGGCAGAATCTTAATCTTAAAACATGTCTGCTTTTATCAATGGTAAATACTTTAAATTCAAACATAGAAACTAACTGGTCTCAACCGTAGTTATAGTTTGAACGTAAATCAATGCAAGTGCTATTGTAGATTTGTTTAGGTATGTAAACGTAGTGCATCGATATCTTATATAAACCTTACATAAACATCTTATTTGTTGTAGGTATAGAGAAACTCGTTAATTTTCACATTTACAACAAATTCATTTTCTTCTGTCAAAGAAAAAATTTAAAAGGATATTAACCTTTTACCCCATGAGCATATTGCGAAAAATGGCCATTTTCATTAAAAAGCCTCCTGTCACAAGTTCATACTGCTATGAAACTATGAAAAATGCTTCAATACTAATGAAACTTGACACAAATGTTGACTACACCATAGCCTCTGTAACAGCATGCTCAATGGTAAATTTCCTGTTACCATGGCAACGGAGGGACGTCTCAAAATTGCCAAAAATCACTATTTTGCATTGTTTTTTTCCATCAAAACTGATTTCAAAGTGCTGCAACTTCTCAATGAATGGAGATAGAGTAAAAGGCTTTTCAGCGTCGGTTACTAGTTACCCTAAGATCAACCTGAGGCCATTTTTAGCCTGTCACATGTCCAAAATTTTCTTGGCGATGAGGGGGACTCCACCCCCCTTCAAACCCCCCAAACAAAAGGGGGCACATCCCCCTTCTGGCAACCCCGTGATGTAATATTTGGATGGGGGCCGGCGCCGAAAAAGTGGTCACTTTTTTTAACAACATTTCTCAAACGAAAAACAGTGTTTGGGGTCTAAAAGGGCATTTTTTCACTGTTTGAGGCCTCAAAAAGGGGGGTGGGGGGCAAAAAGCCGTTGAAACACGCTTATATAAGGGAAAATGTTAAGCCTTTGTAATAGGATGACAATGATAGTTTAAAGTGCTGAAAGCAGGTTATTGCTGCAAATGCCTTAAACATGCTGAATTTGTGAAATGGTATAGCCCAGTTTTGAATTCGGAACAGACCGTTTCCAAGTTCAAGGGAATTTCATAGCAAAATAGAAAAATAGTATTGCTGAGAAAAATGATAGATATATGTGAGTACTTTGTTGTATGAAGAAACTGGGTTAGAAGTTATAAAACTTTCTCTGAGCTTTGTCTCGAATCTCAGGATTTTCATTGGTCTATGTATTTTCTGTGCCAGATTCTTGACCAATCAAATATCAGAATTCTGAGTTTGAGATGAGAATGTTTCTATATAACATTGAACACTGGTACAAAAACAGTGTTGACAGTGCTGACAAGTATGTACTAGTAGATCTAGATAATATACATGTATAATATTTAAAGAATAAAATGCTATACATGTATATAGGAGGAGTGAATAAGATGAGAATATTGGCAAAAACTTTTTCACAACTCAATCAAATAAGTGTATTGAGATCTCAATAAGGTATATACAATGTAATATCTTTGATCAAAAAAGAAAATGACTTTATGAGAACGGAATTATTGCTATGGCAACTCAATATAGCAATAACAATAGTAAATAAGATATTGTGCTTTCTCATGATATTGTTTTGAGAGAAAAGTGTGATATGATTTTATGGAAATGAAAGCATTAAAGTACATGTATAAGGTTTAAAAATGTTTTTATATGGATCCACAAACAGCCTTGAGTTTATAAGTATGTTTTGCATATTTGTTGATTGTGGTTTTTCTGAAAGGTGAATGATAGATAGAAATATTTCACGGTTTCTTGCCAGAATTTTGCAAGATATTAATGAATAAGCAGAATTTTGTTTAGGTTAACTAAATATACATAAAAGCATGATTTTTTTTCACCAGTAGGGGAATAGGTCCTTTCCTTAAATTTTGGAGAGAAAAATTCAAGGTATTTTTGCAAAAAGGGGAACTTAGTCAAAACTTGATGTAAAGCAAAATTAAGGGGAAAACTGTATGAGTTTTATAAATTTTCCTTAGGGGGACGATTTTTATGCCCCCACAGAGTGGGAGCATATAGCGTTGCACTTGTCCGTCCGAGTGTCCGTCCGTACGTCTGTCCGTCCGTCCGTCCGTACGTTCCGAAATCTTGTGAACGCAACTCCTCTTAAACCGCATGGCAGATATTGCTTAAACTTCCAGGGATGAACAACCTTAATGTGTAGATGGTAGTAAAGGAAGGAATTTGTGCTGCGACCAAATTTAACAGAATTATGGCCCTTTGTTGATTTTTTTCACTGTATACTATGTAGAAATTTTGTGAACACAACTCCTCTTAAACCAGATGGCAGATTTTGTTTAAACTTCCAGGGATGAACAACCTTAATGTGTAGATGGTAGTAAAGGAAGGAATTTTTGCTGCGACCTAATTTAACAGAATTATGGCCCTTTGTTGATTTTTTCACTATATACTATGTAGAAATTTTGTGAACGCAACTCCTCTTAAACCGGATGGCAGATTTTGCTTAAACTTCCAGGGATGAACACCTTAATGTGTAGATGGTAGTAAAGGAAGGAATTTTTGCTGCAACCAAATTTAACAGAATTATGGCCATTTGTTGATTTTTTCACTATATACTATGTAGAAATTTTGTGAACGCAACTCCTCTTAAACCGGATGGCAGATTTTGCTTAAACTTCCAGGGATGAACAACCTTAATGTGTAGATGGTAGTAAAGGAAGGAATTTTTGCTGCGACCAAATTTAACAGAATTATGGCCCTTTGTTGATTTTTTCACTATATACTATTTAGAAATTTTGTGAAGGCAACTCCTCTTAAACCGGATGGCAGATTTTGCTTAAACTTCCAGGGATGAACAACCTTAATGTGTAGATGGTAGTAAAGGAAGGAATTTTTGCTGCGACCAAATTTAACAGAATTATGGCCCTTTGTTAACTTTTAGTTTTCAAATTGTGGCACATGTAGTCCAAAAAATATTTGACCTAGAGTCATAAGATTGACAGAACAGTGGCGTGTGGGGGCATCCGTGTCCTATGGACACATTTCTAGTTTTGATTTTTTTAGCTCACCTGAGCTTGCTCAGGGTGAGCTTTTAGGATCGGTGAATGTCCGTTGTCCGTCCACAATTGCTTGTGAACACTCTAGCGGTAGCATTTTTGCCTCAATCATCATCAAACTTGGTCGGGATGCATTACTAGTTGAAAGCTCGGATGAGTTCGAACATGGCTCATCTCGGATGAAAAACTAGGTCACAAGAGCTAAAAATAGAAAAACCTTGTGAACACTCTAGAGGTCACATTTTTGACCCAATCATCATCAAACTTGGTCAGGATGTTTGTCTAGGTGATAGCTCAGATGAGTTCGAACATGGGTCATCTCGGATGAAAAAGTAGGTCACAGGAGCTATAAATAGAAAAACCTTGTGAACACTCTAGTGGTCACATTTTTGACCCAATCATCATCAAACTTTGTCAGGATGCTTGTTTAGATAATAGCTCGGATGAGTTCGAATATGGGTCATCTCGGATGAAAAACTAGGTCACCGGAGCTATAAATAGAAAAACCTTGTTAACACTCTAGCGGTCACATTTTTGCATCAATCATCATCAAACTTGGTCAGGATGCTTATCTAGTTGATAGCTTGGATGAGTTCGAATATGGGTCATCTCGGATGAAAAAGTAGGTCACCGGAGCTAAAAATAGAAAAACCTTGTTAACACTCTAGCGGTCACATTTTTGCATCAATCATCATCAAACTTGGTCAAGATGCTTGTCTAGGTGATAGCTCGGATGAGTTCGAACATGGGTCATCTCGGATGAAAAAGTAGGTCACCGGAGCTCAAAATAGAAAAATCTTGTTAACACTCTTGCGGTCACATTCTTGCATCAGTCATCATCAAACTTGGTCAAGATGTTTGTCTAGGTGAGAGCTCGGATGAGTTTGAACATGGGTCATCTCGGATGAAAAAGTAGGTCACTGGAGCTAAAAATAGAAAACCTTGTTAACACTCTAGCGTTCACATTTTTGCATCAATCATCATCAAACTTGATAAAGATGCTTGTCTAGGTGATAGCTCGGATGAGTTTGATAGCTCGGATGAGTTTGAACATGGGTCATCTCGGATGAAAAACTAGGTCACAGGAGCTAAAAATAGAAAAACCTTGTTAACACTCTAGTGGTCACAATTTTGAATCAATTGTCATCAAACTTGGTCAGGAAACTTGTCTAGGTCATTGCTGGAAATAAATCGAACATGGGACATCTCGGATGAAAAACTAGGTCACAGGAGCTAAAAATAGAAAAATCTTGTTAACACTCTAGTGGCTACTGTTGTGATCCAAATATTCTGTTAAGTGGTCTGAAAGTTTGTTTTGATGATTTCTAAGTCAAGATCGAACATGGGTCATCTTGGATGAAAAACTAGGTCACACCGCCCAAATATGGAAAAACCTTGTTAACATTCTAGTGGTCACATTTTCGACTCAATTATCATCAAACTTGGTCAGGATGCTTGTCTAGGTAATTGCTTGGATGAGTTCGAAATCGCATGTGAAACTAGGTCACCGGAGCTAAAAATAGGAAACCTTGTTAAGACTCTAGTTGCTACTGTTTTGATCCAAGTATCCTGGAAATTGGTCTGAAAGTTTGTTTTGATGATTTCTAGGTCAAGTTTGAATATGTGTCACCTGGGTAAAAAACTAGGTTGCACTGCTCAAATATGGATAATCCTTGTTAACACTGTAGTGGTCACATTTTTGACTCACCTGTCATGAGACTTGGTCAGAATGCTTGTCTAGGTAATTGTTTGGATGAGTTTGATAAGTCAGGTGAGCGATCTAGGGCCATCATGGCCCTCTTGTTTTTGAAAGTATTCTAAGAAATATTTATTATTTTTCCGGAAACAGCTCCTGTGTGATAAGTACATAGAACATTACCAGGTATTATAATATCCACACCCCTAACTTTTATGCGAACTAAACTATAATGATATGACATTACTATGGGATGGCTTTATTATTTTACTATACATAGCACCTGCATGGGACGTTTTATTTTTATAACCTTTTTTATTATCTTTGAGTGAATTGTTTTTAACAAGGAATTTTTTTTTAAGGAAAAAAATCTGGTTACAAGATTGATGAATGTTACAACAGGCCAGTGTTAATAATTCTTTAAGCTTACATCTACTCGTACATTTATTGAGGGATTATACCCAAAACTTTTCACCAAGTGCCCTGTAGCATGCTGTCTTGGTTTAATTACTTGTTCCTGAATTATTGACAGAGTTATGGCCCTTTTTGAATTTAATAAATAGTCTACATTTTCAAGGCTCTTGTTTCACCATTTAGCATTATAATTGAAAGCTCATTTACAAGAAAAGACTTGTTCATACTGGCTTGCTGCAGCAGCAACAACATGTCAAAATTTAGCCATCATAGGAACAGGCTGGTTTATTTAAACAATTGTTTGTTTTTTCTTTAAATGTTTTGTTTAAGGATGACACTTGTATTTGATATAATAAAATAAATATACATGTATTAATCTGATATTAAATTTATCACTGGTACAGTATTGATTAACATTCTTGATGAAGGTATTGTAATATGAAAAAGGGCATTTTATAGTGTCCTAAAATATGCAAATAAAGTGTCCTAAAATATGCAAAAACAGTGTCCTAAAATATGCAAATACAGAGTCCTAATATACGCAAATTGAGAGTCCTAAAATTCGCAAATTGAGAATCCTAAAATAAGCAAATTGAGAGTCCTAAAATAAGCAAATTGAGAGTCCTAAAATAAGCAAATTGAGAGTCCTAAAATAAGCAAATTGAGAGTCCTAAAATAAGCAAATACAGAGCAACACCTTTTGGGAAACAAAGTTTTGATTGATACTGAGAGATGATGCTATAGAGAAGTTAAAGTTTTGTGGTCTTACTGTCTGTTTTTGTAAATATATATTGCTCTACAGATGGCCACTCTGTGGAGGTCACACTGTAATTTTGATTGGTGGCTTAAGTCTTAAAGTTTAAATTTCTTGACAGAGTTATCATTATTTTGTTCTCTTCTGGTCTGTTGATGAATACTGTACCAAATTCTTTATTTGCATACTCATGGCTTGACTAACATATTTTGTTTATATACATGTATATCAAATTTTGGTTTGCACTGCAATTACTAGGTTTCATTTATGTGTATGGAGATGTGTTTTTAAAAAGTTCAAGATAAGATGCCTTGGTTTTTTTGTGTTTTTTTTTTTAATTTTGACAGGCAAAGCCCTTTAAAAAGTCTAGACATTGTTTCCTTTTTTCAAGTTTTAGAAAATTGTTCATATTTAGATTTATTCTGTTCATTTCATAGAGAAAATGATGATCTTCATGTTAAACAAGGGAATTAAGTCTGTATAGTCACTGCATTTTATCAGATAGACTTGTCTCCCTTGAATGCATTAGAAAATATCAGTTTATTTTGAATTTATGCCTTCTTTACTTGCAGACTTCAGAAGGTTTGGATGGAGGGTGTGACACATTAAAGGCTGATAGGGTTAGTAAATACACTTTCAAATTTATTCAAAAATATCGTTCATTATAATTATGTAATAACAGTTGTGACTGAGATATTGAGTCAAACCTGTGTTAATAGACCACCTCTGATTAAATATCATCCTGTAAATAAAGGCCACTTTACAACAATCCTTTATTGATTAAAAAGAACAACATGACCTCCAAATAAAGACCACTAAGTCTTGTCTATAAAAGCCATGTTTAGTCTATCCCTTGTATGACCTTTGTTATCAGGTTTCACTGTAGATGGTTTAGGGCAATTTTACTCTTTATTTGTTGAAATCTTAATTATCCCTCTCCCTGCTGTAACTGAAAAGGATTAGGTTTTGCCACCAGTGAACCTGGCTAGTCTGACCAAGCTCTACACTGTTGTTTGACTCAACTTTAAGACTCGGTCTCACCATAACCCGGCAGAGCCCAGGACCATCCCGGTAAGTTACCGGGATGATCCGGGACGATCCGGGATGAAATTATTGTTGCGGTCACACTTACCCCGGCAGCACTACGGTAGTTCCCTACTAACCACCCAGGATGCGCTCCGGATCATCCAGGCAGAGCCCAGGTGAAGCTACGGTTCATGCCGGTGCTTCCCCGGTCGTTCCCGGATGACGCCGGAAGAGCCCCGGTTGACCCAGGCAGAGCCCCGGTCGATCCAGGCAGAGCCCCGGCAGAGCCCCGGACGATCCAGGCAGAGCCCCGGTAGAACCCCGGTGGATTGAAAACGCCCGAAAATGATAACCTTGATACATAATTTTTATTTAATATAATATCTGTTGTTCCAGAATAGTAATTCATGATGATTTTCTGAAAAATCCTTATGCCATACTGGATAGAAGGGAAATGGGAAGGCTTTTAATACAAACAAGTTCAATCATCACAAATTGTCCTTATTTTTTTTAAATGATCCGGGCTTTGCCGGGGCTCTACCGGGATCAACCGTAGCTCTACCTTTATCCTCCGGGGTTCTGCTTGTAGTTACCGGGGCTCTGCCGGCATATAACGGGGCTCTACCGTAGCTCTACCGTAGCTCTACCGGCTATATCATACCCCGGATCATTCCCGGTTTGTGCCGGCAGAGCTACGGTGCTTTCCCGGTATCACCCCGGTCGTTCCCAGCAGAGCTAAGGATGATGCCGGCAAAGCTATACCTTCCCGGATCATCCCGGACCACCCCGGTGATATTAAATATTTTATTCCATCCGGGGTCGAATGCCGGATGTTCCCGGATCATCCCGGACGTTGCCGGCAGAGTTACGGATGTACCCCGGTTGTTCCCGGTCGTACCCCGGTCGTTCCCGGATCACCCCGGACGTCTACCGGGGCTCTGCCGGGGCTCTGCCGGGATGTTAGTGAGACTGTAGCTTTAAGAATTCATCTTGATATCTTGGCTGCGTTTCATAGAAAACTCCGAAGTCAAGTATATTCTATAGTCCTAGGATTTAAAACAAATTATAGGATTAACATAAGTCTGTTTCAATGAATATTTTCATCTTTTGTCAAATTTTTAGACTGTAATTAATTTTAATTTAATTTTTCTTCAATCTTGACTCAAATGTTCACTTCAACAAGGTTATGTGCAAAACCCATGTTACCCTTTTGCCGTCTATTAAGGTCAAGGTCACACTTGAAGGTCATAAAATGACCTAAAAAAAATTCTTGAATTTTAACATGTATTTGAAAATTTCTGAAACTAGCACAGGTATTCCCTTGAAACTTAAAAGATAATATTTATATGAGGTGTCACTAGTAAGATATGCAGGTCATGTTTCATAACTCTGTATTGCATTTTGACAAAGTTATGCCCCTTTTTATGTCTTTAAATTTACATACAATCAATACTAGACAATATGTAGTGTCCGCTCTATAAATTCTATACTTATGGAAGGATTTTCTTCAAACTTAACTCAAATGTTGACCCCAATTCGCAGAACCCATCTTACCCTTGTGCCTGCTAAGGTCAAGGCCACACTTGAATGTCAAAAATTGACTTAGAAAATGTTCTGAAATTTTAACATGTACTTGAATGTTTCTAAAACTAGAACAGATAATCATTTTAAACTTCAAATATAAGAAGTGTCGCAGGTAAGAAAGTTTCATAACTAAAAAAAATGGGGGGGATAACTTTGTATTGTATTTTGACAAAGTTAAGTCCAATTTTTTTGTCTTTAAATTTATTTACTATAATATTTCTTAAACTAGAACAGATATTTACTTGAAACTTAAAATTTATATGAATGGTTACAAGTAAGCTCAGATGACGAAAGTTCTACAATTCCATTGAATTATGACACAAGTTATGCCCCTTTTAGGCTTAGAAAATGTTCTGATATAACCATTAATACTTAAATGTTTCTGAAACTAGAACAGATATTCACTTGAAACTATATAATATATGAAGGGTCATAACAGTGTGGCAATACCACGTGACATTGACGTCATTTTAGGCATCATTTCCAAGACAAATGTTGCTCGATTCGGAAAAGAAAATAGCCGTAAATGTTTTATTTCTGTACCAATTTCTTTGGGATATGCACCAGTCTACGGGGAAAAATATAAGCTTTCCATAGAATATTGGATCTTCGTCAGTTTATAAGCCGTTTTATCAAACACTTTGCCTAACCTTGGAAGTTGCTTGTATTAGAGCGGGCTTCAGTTGCAAGCTATTTCGTTTTCTGGCGTTATCTGGTCTACGCCATGATTAAAAAGTCAGGTTTACATCAACCGGGAGTACGGAAGGCAAAACTCTACCTAAATATGTTCATATTTTTATTACGAATGACATAAATCTTACATTTTTCTTCAATTGTCAATTCTGGCACCAGTTCCAAGTCGAAATAAAGGACTACAGTTTAAAGCAGATTTTAGAATCCGTTGCAAATGCGAAGCAACATGCCTACCGTTCTCTTTCTACAATTGAGTTTTTCATTGTTGATCGTTCACAGAGAGATTGTGAAAAAACTGATTGTTCCTTAAAGCAACAACACTTACTTGTATCGCATGTCAAATCACGTAGATTTAGTCCTGTCGGAAAATAATGTTTTGGTTCGTTTTGAAGATGTTTAAAGTATTGCTCATCTTATCCTATGTAGTAAAATTATTCTATTTCACAATGGCGAAATTGATAAGAAATATATGCTCTTAGTGAGAGAAAGAGTTAATATAAAAAACACTTTTGTATGATATGGAAAGGGTTACACTTTAACGCGAGTGTTGTAAAGCTAAAGGTATTTTTTCAGTTTATTTTTAAAAAGAGTAACGGACAAATACTGACACTCGTGAATGTGACGAATAGGTTATTCTGTCCTCAAAAGAGAGACTTTTAAAAGGTATATATTTTTTCTGGAATTGTTGTATAATAAAGGTCTATAGAGTTTGATAAACTAAAACACAATTTGAACTTGGAACTTTGCCTTGTAAATCTGATAGTATTGTTACTTAGTTGCATTACTTATGATTCTCTATTTATCAAAAAGACCCAAAATAGCCACGAATAAGAACGAGAATGGATGCCATGTGGAGTAAACAAAGTAGAAAATAGTAAACAGATAAATGATTTTACAAAGCAACAGCCATCGATCACAGTCAAATTTCTTGAAACAAAACATTCAAAAAGACAAAAATAACAATGATTATCAATAATTATATAAATATTTACATTAACATCTGTAATAGCAACATCGGCAAGATCTATGACTGGGGTCCATATGCCACTGATGCCATTGAATAATTGATAAAGCTAACATAAGCTTAGTAAAATTACGATTACATTTGAAGAGTATATTCATTTTTTATCCTTCAACTGTCAAATGACTTACTTCTTTATTTACATATCAGATAATTCACTTATTTAGTATATATATGCGTCATGTTTATCATGTTTTAGATTTTAATGTGCGATGCTTTTTTAAATCTTAAAATGCTACAAATTTTTAAAAAGCCTGTTGAGGACATCTGCAGGTCATGCCGCGTGCAATAATCCATGCATTTACAGCCAATGACCACATCGATAAGAAATTGTCCTTAATAGCCCTATCGTTTTTATTCAGTTGAAAGAGACATTATTGTTAAAAAGCTCTACTCGATTTAAATGTTTTCAAACCATAAATATTCCGTTCACTTTCTCTCTTTACAATGTTTATATTGGTGAGCTCCCTGATAAAGCTGAGTTGACTGATATTATTAACTAAATTTGTCAGATATGCAGTTCATCAACAGAAATAAATGCAATTATAAAATAGATAGGGTTTAATAGTGTTCTTAAGTAAACGAAGTTATATCCAGTTCACGAAAAACGGTTACCGTGGGTATGAAAACAGGATGTAAAAATATTTTTATCAACGAGTGCCACTGTGTTAAAAAGCTTAATCTATCATACTAAAAGATTGCTACAGGTTCTTTATATATATATATATACAAAGGCTCTTTACAAAAGAATAACATTTGACTTTAAAATTGCCGCGTTGAGGCGCAACCCTTTTCACAGCATACAAATCGAAGTGATCCTGAATGTGCACGTTAATTGGACAGGCTAGCTAAGTCAATCAGAGCCTGAAACATTTTCAATTTTGCCGTTTTGGGCGATATTTAGGGTTTCTGTTTTCTATTCCACGTTTAGTATTGCTACATGACACAAATAGATTTTTCACAATCATTACCGTGAAAAGAGCAAATCAATTTCTTTACAAATACAGACCACATTTTACGACTTTTAAAATCACTTATAGCGCAGCGAGTAAAAATCATTTAAATATTCATTTGTGTTTATGTTAATCGTATAGTAAATAAAATGTTTTTCATGGTTAACATAATAATAGAAAGAGAACGGTAGGCATGTTGCTTTGCATTTGCAACGGATTCTAAAATCTGCTTTAAACTGTAGTCCTTTTTTTCGACTTGGAACTGGTGTCAGAATTGACAATTGAAGAAAAATGTAAGATTTATGTCATTCATAATAAAAATATGAACATATTTAGGTAGAGTTTTGCCTTCCGTACTCCCGGTTGATGTAAACCTGACTTTTTAATCATGGCGTAGACCAGATAACGCCAGAAAACGAAATAGCTTGCAACTGAAGCCCGCTCTAATACAAGCAACTTCCAAGGTTAGGCAAAGTGTTTGAAAAAACGGCTTATAAACTGACGAAGATCCAATATTCTATGGAAAGCTTATATTTTTCCCCGTAGACTGGTGCATATCCCAAAGAAATTGGTACAGAAATAAAATATTTACGGCTATTTTCTTTTCCGAATCGAGCAACATTTGTCTTGGAAATGATGCCAAAAATGACGTCAATGTCACGTGGTATTGCCACACTGCATAAGTAAGCTTAGTATGCAAAGTTTTTCCACTCTTAATTACATTTTGACATAATTGTGCTATTTTCTTAACTTTACTGCTTTTGTTTGTTTTAGAACATTGGGAAAATGAAAGTGTTTCGAACATGATTTGACAATATATATTTATACTATTAACTGTACAATTCGTCTTTTTTCCACCAGAGATAATTTCTTTTTATGTATTTGTGCCACTTAAGTTACTCCCTTAACCACCTTTCCAAGTAGTCTTCTGTCAAGGACATTGGTGGGGGGGGGGGGGTATGAATCGCATTTAGCGATAGTTCTAGTTTAGTAGTTTAGGACATTTTCTTTGAAACGAAAATTGTTTCAGTTTTGGTCTTAAGACATATTTTAGGCTTAGGACTTTCCATGAAGTGCAACTCAGTGAAATTTGATAAAGGATGCATTCAAATATAGAAGCTTGACAAGTCCATTTATGAAATTTAGCAGGTTAAAGGGTTAACTTAATTTTTCTACCCTTATTCCCCTGTTCACTTATATAACAGTCAACATGTCCAGTTTGAAAACTCAACTCTAAATCTAAAGCTTGCCTGCTTAGGCTCCTCAGTTCTTCTTTCATAAGATTTTCTAGAATGTTATCATGTTATATAACCTTAACTAATTTTGGTATGGTCATAAAATCCAATCTTAAAATACTCACATTTTTTTCAGAGTTCGTCATCGTTTGCGCAAGACGGCTTATTAGGAAAGCGGGATAGCTCATTCAGCACGAACACGGCTGCCAACGGAAATCTGGAGGAAATGCTTTCAAACAGATCACAATCCAATTCTAAGTCAGACTCTAGTGATAATTCCGACTGTAGTATATGTATCGAAAGAGGCTCAGTAGATATTAGTGACATTAACGAGATGGGTTTAAATGATCTCAGTGTAAAGACGGATAGTAATTCAAGTCCTGTAAGGCAAGTGTCGCGACGCAGTAATAAAAGAATACCAAAGAAGTTGACAAATACGGATAAAAAAGGGGTACCGGTTAGGAAGAAAGGTACGGAATCGAAGGCGTTGACAAATGACGGGAAGAGACTCCAGTTTCCATATTCTGTGATTCATTGTGAGTAAAAATGATCATTTATATTTGTATGCAAGCAATAACATCTTTTAATGAGGTAGTGCAATTAAATGAAAAACACTAGGTAAAAATTTTAAAATATTGTTCTTGGCTGCAATTCAGTTTAATTTAAATAATAATTTGTAAAAATCTTCTAACCTAGTGATTTAACTTTATTTTCAGGTATTGACAGACAAAAGACTATAATGGCCTTGCAAACTTCTGCGACAAAACTTCAAAAGTAAGTATGATTCCTATATGAAGTTTTGACTTATCTAAAATGTTGATATTGATGTAGCTCTAAAAATTCAGTATCATGAAAGATATTTTAGGGATGGAGGTGTTTTCACTCATCTAAAGTGTTACTAAAGATTCTTTTTATTTTGAAAACTCACTTCTTGATCCAGTTGACGTAACCCTTATTATTTTTTATGCCTTATTTATTTAATGAGCTCATCATGCTTTGTATATTTAAACTTTCAGAATTCCAAGAACCAATCTACTTCTGGCAATCTGTACCTTACTGTAAGTATAACGTACATTCCTATCCAATATATGAATTTAAAAAGTATGCCTTATTCCTAAGCCTGCTGGTGGCAACTGATTTCTACCCATGTCACTAGTACAGACCAAGATCAGCCTGCACATCTGTGCCGCCTGTTTATGCCAACATGGTCTGCATTGTTTGCCGTTCAGTCAGTACATATTTTGAAATAATTCCTAAAAATGATGAATGGTTTTGTCCAGATAGAAAAATGGACAAGTCCAAGTAAGATATTTAGCATGGTATTAAAGTGTAAATGGTCTTTCTCTATAAAAGAAAGATAATATCAGTACTGGATTGTTTTACAATGTTAAACACAATTGTACTTCTACATCTTTCAAATCATATGCTAGTGATTAATGATATATTGTCTGTCCATCTGTCAGAGGATGGGATTAGTAGGGGTTTGATCTGTGGGTGAAGCGTAATTTGTCCTTGACAATTAATTTAGAACATTTGAGTCGTGCCATGACAAAACCAACATAATGCGTTTGTGACCAGCATGGATCCAGACCAGCCTGCGCATCCGCGCAGTCTGATCAGGATCCATGCTGTTCGCTTACAAACCCTATTACAAGGAGTGATACTGATAGCGAACAGCATGGATCCTGATCAGACTGCGCAGATGCGCAGGCTGGTCTGGATCCATGCTGGTCGCAAACCCATTATGTTGGTTTTGTTGTGACGCAGCTCATTATTATGCTAGTGATTAATGATAAATTGTCTGTCCATCTGTCAGAGCATCGGATTAGTAGGGGTTTGATCTGCGGGTGAAGCGTAATTTGTCCTTGACAATTAATTTAGAACATTTGGTCTAATGATCACTGCTTGTTCAGACATCATACAGGATTTGTAGTTGGTCATTTGTAGAGATATTGGTAATTACTGGTTAGTTACCCAGGAGATAAGCTGGATTGACGACACAGATTTGACCAAAGTAAATGTTTTGAAATCAGCATAAAAATAACTTAAAATCAAACAAATAAATGACTCAGACTCTTTAAACTTGTATGTTTTATGTACATTTCATTGATAAGGTGGACTTAAAATTAACTTCAGTTAAGTTCTGTTGTACATGTTTATGATTTATCATTGGTTAAACTTTGTTGTTGTTTTTATATTTTCAGAGTATTATTTTTAATGTTATCTGCAGTGGGACTAACTTATAAAATTCTAAATTTGGAAAGTAAGATATCGGCTAGAAATGTGTGGACAGAGGCTGATCACAATTTTAACAGGTAAATATGTGGGAAAAAAGAATTAAGAAAACTTTATGATATTTTGCTCTTTAAAGCACAGCATTAAGCCCTATAGTTGTGGAATGAGACTAAAACATTTTATGAATTGTCATGTGTGAAGTAGGGGAGCAGTGGCTTAGTGGTGAAGGTATACAATGCTGCTCAATCCAGATATAATTGGTTCAGGCCCGAATCTGGTCATGACCATGTTTTTTCGAATGACACCATGTTTTAATAAAGATTCAGACATCAGTGAAGATTGTTTTACTGTTATATATTGTGTTATAGAGATAAGACGTACATGAACGTGATGGGTTTGCAATCCGTGATGAGAGATTCAACAGCTGAACATGTTCAAAATATATTACAAGCCAATATAAAGATTTTACATGAGGTAGAAATATGCTTACATTTTATATTGTCCTAATTTTGTCTTATGAGGGTTAATTTGAATCGGATTATCTATATGAATAAAGCTATATCTGCCATGTTAAGTTAAAAAATGTTGAGACATTAGGTATGCATTTCTGACTGTGTCTGCATTTCGAGAATTAATTTACCAGTCTACAAGCCTATCTTGTTATTGGTCAAATAATATATGTTATTTTGGTTTTGGAGTGATATATGTGGATATATTACCTGTTAAGATTTTATATCACCCGAGCCGTTAGGCGAGGGTGATATTTTATCTTGGCAGGTAATATATCCACATATATCACTCCAAAACCAAAATAATAATCTTATTACCCTTCCCCTGCCGAGTTTAGACAATTTTTTAAAAAATCATTGCTGTTTCAAATGAAACGTCGAAATAAGATTCCCTTTAGGGTACCTCTTCGTCACAACATGACGTCACATAAATACATGACGTATTTTTCCCGTACCTACCGAATGTAAACAAGAGAAAAGGAGTAGTCTATTGAACGCACTTTTTTGTAATTAATATCAAGCTTTCACAAGGTCATATTTGTTTTAGATACTGATGAGAATATGTATCATTACTCTACTTTGGTAAATATTTATCATTTGACAATTAAAAAGTGCTTTTAAATCGGAATTTACACCGCGTAAAATCGAACCGTACGCGCATCACCTCAGCGCATGTTGTTTACAACGTTGGGTACCCAACGGGGAAATTTAGTGTGTATATTACCCGTCTGGCTCGGTTATATCAATTTCTTTCGGGTGATCAATGTCCAATCAAAAAGGTGGAAAAAATCTGGAAGGGTAATAAAAACCTATATTTAGAATCAGCCAATCAGATACTTCAGATTTAGACTGGGTCTCATTAACAGTTTTCATAATCATGCCAAAGTGTATTAATTACTGAAAGTATGTTTATTTAGCTGAAAATTGGAGTAATTTTCTGTTATTTTAACATTGTGGGAATTAGAAAAAGTATGAATTTGGAAAAGGAAAATGTATTTAAACAATATTTTACCATTCTTAATATTTTATTTTCAGATTAATTCAAGTTTGCAAAGTTTAAAAAAAGCGGGAGATAAATCTGGCAATGTTTGACAGTGTGAGGAAACCTGTTTTACTACATCCACCACAATGTGCTATCCTGGTAGTTAACCTCTACCAACAAAAATCGTAACAGCGGCTAGAAGCCAAAGACATTTCTCAGGCCGAAATTAGAAGATAAAAATTGAAATCTGCAAGATCTGCACAAATGTATATCATCGCACATGTCAAAGGTTTATTAAATTGAAAAAATTAAACCAGTCTATAGATGGAGCTCACCCATTGGTTGATTTCAAATCAGTGCAAAAAATTAACCAATCAAATGACTCGTCTTAGACTTGTCACTAGTTATACTTGGAAATATTGGAAAGGCTTTAACTGTTGCTTATGCTGGCATGTGTATTATAAAAGTAAAGTTATCAGGCTTGATTGATCTGGAAATCTGGAAACTGTGTTATACACTTAAATGTTTCTTGCAACATGCTGTCACTTTCTTTTTGGAAACGGCTTACTAAGTAAGCGTTTAATCATGTACATCTACTGTGATACAGCCAGCTATCAATTTAAAATACTGACAATTGAGTAAATAATACAAATGCTTCTATTTTAAAGCAGTAATGATTTATAATACTGCATGTTTGAAACATCAATTTTTATAGATCAATCATGGTGTGTATATTTACCAATATACAAGGCTGCAGCAATTTTATGATTTATTTCCAATTTAAATCAAAGTTAAACAAATTTGGCAGTATTGTAAATTTGTTATTAGACCTTCAATAAGTTATATGGCCTTTGTTGATATGGTTATTTGCTATGTAAACTTACAACTGTTTTTATTGGGCCATATAACCTGTAATATCTATTTTAGTTGATAATGATGGTGTAAGCAGAATAAGGACAAAAATACCAATGGCTGCCTCAGTATGAAAGTGATATTTTCTTACTGAAATATTTCTAACCAATATACTAGTGTACCAAAGACTTGGACAAAAAGTCATGTGATCAGCATTTTTCCTGTAAAATGAACGAAACATTTTGAAATGTTTAAAACAACATATGTCTGTGATCTATTTTTAGCATTTTTCTTTCAGGACCCGTAAATACATTCCTGTGACAAGTGTAATCAGTATCTGTTGTTTTATATGTGTTGTTGTTATTGTTGTTGTTTTTATATGTGTTCCATATAGTCATGGTTTACAGTTCATTGATGATTGATGGATTGAGTATGAATAACAATTGGACTTTGAATGCCATAAATGTAAAAATAATGATGGTTTACATAATTATAAGACAGATTTTAATACATGACTGTGTAAATAAATGTTAAAGATATACTATGCTCATCCTTGAGTAAAATATTTTAATCACAGAAATTGATTGAAATCTATAAAATTCTTACTGAATATGTCTAATTTGAATAAAGTAATGAATAAACTATGTAAGGGAAGCTGAATTCTCTATTATTGGTTAAGCAAAGTTGGTACTTTCTTTAAAAAAAATGGCATTTTTTAATGACACTATATATTCATAGTGTGACAACATAATTATAGTGTGTAGAGTTTTAAACATATCTACTTCATGTGAAGCCAGAACATGTTTATTTTTTATTTACAAAATCATCAATATAGTTTCTAACATCAAATTTGAGCATAGTGTGTCTTTAACATACATGAGTTTTTTTTGTCATTATGAAATTTGTGATAGGAAATTTGTGCCAGGATACTGATAATTTACCCATTTCTTGTTTGTCAGTTTGTCCGTCTGTCTGTCTGTTCAGAAGCATTTATGCTGATTTTTTTTCTTATCAAATCTGTTATACAGATTTTGAACATTATATTGTATATTTCATCAGTTACAACCTATAAAATAAAGATATTTCTCTTGGGGTATTTGTAGTTTTAAGAAATACAGTTAATTTACAAGTAGTGCTGCTGAATAGGGCAGTTTGATTTTTTTTTCAAAAGTTTTTTTTTTTTATCTGTTTCGAAAGTTTATGTTACTGAAAACTGGTATATATTTTTTGTTTGTAAATAATAAAAAGTTTTATTTATTTGTCTAAATGATGCTTAAATTAGGATATACATGTATGTAAAGAAACTTGAAAATTGAAGTACTTTGTACAGTTCAAGATATTTTTTTAATATATTAGAAAAGTGCTGTATAAGGAAATACTAAAATCAGCTTTTAGCATACCAGGAGATATTTAGACAGGTTTTGATACGCCAGGAAGTACTTTAAACAGAATTTGGTATGCAAGATAATAGTTACTTAAAACAGCTTTTGGGATATTGGTTTTTGGTATACAAGGAATTATTCAAACAGAATTTGGCATACCAGGATGGTTAAAAATAGCTTTTTGAGATAATGTTGTTTTTTTTTTTTTTGGTAAACAAAGAATTACTTAAACAGATTCTTGTATACCAGGTAGTTTATTTGAACTAGATTTTGGGAAAATGGTTTTTGGTATACAAGGAATTACTGAAACAGATTTTGGTATACCAGGAAGGTTTGAAATAGCTTTTGATATACCGGTAATTGTCTTTTGGTAAATAAGGAATTAGTTAAACAGATTTTGGTTTACCAGGAAGATTTTAAATAAATTTTGCTGAAATTTGTGGTATACCGGATGTAGAGCTTTTTGTAAGAAAGTACTAAATTAGCTTTTTTGGGGAAAATTGTAAAAAAATAAAAAAAATTGGTATTCAAGGAACTAGTTAAACATCTTTTTCGGTGTGTAATACATTACTTAAACAGCATTATTGTGTGTAAATGTTACAATATTATATTTAGATGTCTTTTGCTATATCCGAGTTATTTTAAAGAATATGTGATATTGTATAGTCTTTTCAATCATGACCTTTTTGTCATCATGACATTTGCAGAAAAAAATAATGACCTTTTCAGAAAAAGGTCAAATGGATATTCTTCATAAATCTCTTCATGACCTTTTTGTCATCATGACCTTTCACGAAAAAAAATGATGACCTTTCCAGGAAAAGGTCAAATGCAAATTCTTATTTTAGGTATAGCCTATGAATAGAAAGAGGAATTCATAGCATATGTCAAAGCCTGTTTATTTATTAATTTTTTTTTGATATTGGAGAAATCCATACAGATTATTTAGATTTAAAAGGTTATCTTGGAGTGAACTATATATATGTATATCTATGTATCTATTTATTGTTCTATGAACTATATTTATTTATAGTGATGACATATCATAAAAGTAGTATTATTAAGTATCAAGAGTTGTTAAAGGCCCATTATGCCCCAGTATGCTTTTATATTTATTTATCAAATGCTCCTTATTTTTGGTGTCCCAATATGGTTTCCAAAAAATTTCTCACTGGTCAATTACCTGAATCATCTTTTGCTGTTACATTTTGACAATTAGTATAGTTGTAGTGATTAAGTATTTTGTATGGAAGTCAAAATGCTATACATGTATTTTGTTTATGTTTTACTACTTTTTATGGCAAATATTGAACTAATTTTCACATTGGGCACTATTTTCTTCAGATAATAAGCATCTATAAATGCTTTTAAACCATTTTTAACATTATAAAACTCATATTTGCTCTTTCTAAAGAAGGGTAAAATTTATTTGTTTATGAGGCATAATGAGCCTTTAAAGTAGTTCATTGAGTAGCAAGTTAGTCAGTCCTGTCAAGAAAATTAATGTGTATACTGTAATAGTCATAAAATAATGAATGCTGAATGTATTTTACTTTGACTTTGCTTTTCAGAAGGAATCTTTAAAATTTTAGGAGAATTGCATATTTTAAGCAGAATGCTAGTATGTTTTGGTCAAAAAGTTCTAATATTGAAATCAAAATGTATATTCAATACTTTTATTTTTTAAACACTTAAAAAAAAAAATGCTTTTGTATTTCTGTGATGTAGATTTTTATGCTAAATTATAATGTTAATTAATCTATTGGATATCTGTAAAGTTCGAGTCTTTTTTTTATTTGAGGCTGTGACAGAAAGAATGATGACAGTATTATGTCTGACACATGGCATAATTTTTGATGTAACAAACTTCTTGACAACTGATGCCATTCACTTATGACATCATCATTCTTTTGACACCATAGATTTTACTACAACATCTGACATTCATTTACAACATTTACCAATTTGACACCATATGTGTCACATCTGACATTTCTTCACTTATTTTTCACTCATGATATTATCATTTTGACATTAAAAAGGTTTCACAACATTTGACATCATGTAGTGATGACATCATCATTTTGACATGCAGTGATGACATCATCAATTTTGACATCATGCAGTGATGACATCATCAATTTAACATCATGATGTTATGACAACATCATTTTGACATCATGAAGTTATGACATCATCATTTTGACATCACAAACTTGCTCACTTGTACATTTAGATATAAATTGTAAAGACACTGCAACCTATCCATGATGATCTGTAGTTGACAGTTTAAAAATGTTCCTTGTTTAAAGGAACCCCACTGAGGTCTAAAGGTAAAATTGTCTTATAATATCTTACAATCTAAAAACATAAAATTTGAAATATTGCAATTATCTAGAGAAGCACTAAAAATTGAAAAATCTGCGAATGATAACAAAGAAATATACTCAAAATTAAATTAAAAATCAATTTTATGTGTGATTATTAGCCGGATTTATAATGAGAGAAAAGCGTCTCAACACTTTTCACTTTTGGAATATTTTTCACATCTAAAATGATTATCCTGGGAAAATGAGGACAAGTTACTGGAAAAGACATGACTCAATTGGTACACAAATCTCCGAAAAATATTTTTAGCCTGTCAAGTCTTAAAACCTCAGTGGAGGCCCTTTAAGGTGTTCATTTAGTATTAAATTTATTATTAGGGCAAATGAAACGGCAGCGTTTATTTTTATTTGTGACATGTTTTCTTCATGTGATCACTGCTCAGAGATGGTTTACCAGATCATGCTGTTTGGGTATAATAGATTTATTTTGCATTTGAGATCAACTTTGAGAGGCCCTTTCACATCTATCAAGGCAGTCAGCATTGGTCTTGTAAATTTTGTTTCATCAGAAACTGTTAATAATTAACATATTTAAAGTAAAATCAATAATAAAAAAAATTAGGATAAATTTTTCAACATCATTATTTGTGGAGCCCTAATTTTTGTGGTTTTTGGGGGATAGACCAATCCACGAATTTAAGATCCAACGAAATGTTGTTTCGTCTGCTGTACAAATATTTTAGTACATTGTAATTTAGTTTGCAAAAACAGACAATCAACAAATTTAAGAACCCACAAAATTGACATTTTTGGTAGGACCACGAAATATTTTCATTCTCTCGAAATTAAGTGAATTTACAGTATATACTTTGCATACTTCAAGTGATCAATTGAGAAAAAAAAAAAAAAAAAAAATTTCAGGATAATTTAGATATGAACCTTTTACAACTTGATGTCTCAATAAATGAAAAGCTATGGTATTGATTGAATTGAATAGATATATATCATGTAAAATCACAAGTTTGAGTTTGTTTAGATTTTTTTTTAAAGCTTTTAATGTTATTTAAAGAAAATTAGAATGTCATGTTTTTATAGTTTTTTAGATTGTTGTAGTAGTTTATAAAGGACTTGCATAATAAACTCTAATTTGTGTTCAGCGTGTAGGGAAAACACTCATTTAGTCGCGAGAGGTTACACTTGCTGGGAACAGTATGTGCTGTAAAATATCACCGTCATCTAAATTTACAATAGCCTGACAGTAACATTCAATTCTAGGCTAGTAAACCCTGATATTTTGAGAATACTGGACCATTAAGTCAGTTGCGTTTTATTTATGATATTGCTAAGTGTTAATTTATTTTCATGACCAATCTATGTGTATATGACATTTTGACCCATGGATTTTTGTAAACCATGGACAATTTTATAGAACTATGATTTAAAGAATCATAAACTGTAATAAAAGGTCCATGGACTATTTTTAATTGAACAACAAACCATACATATTAATTTTAAACATTGGGTTATTTTAAAGGACCATGGTTTATTTTTAACTGAACAACCATGTATTTATTTAAAACAGTGGACTATTTTAAAGGACCATGGACAATTTTTAATTGAACAACCATGTATTAATTTAAAACAGTGGGTTATTTTTTAGGACCATGGACTATTTTTAATTGAACAACCATGTATTATTTAAAACAATGGGCTATTTTAAAGGACCATTGACTACTTTTAACGATGGACATATTCGCCATGACTTTTAGAGTATAGGAGTTATTGATTGAACCAGAACTAAATCATGTTTTTGTGGTTATTTTTGTGTCAACTTATTTTCTGTTCTGAATTTGATTCACAATTTAAAGTAGCATGCCTTCAGATTCATGCTAAATGTCATGGAAATTTTGAAAATGTATTTAATTAAAAGTTAGATATTGTGAAGTGAACAAAGAAAGTAATTTACACATTGCAAATGGCACTTAAAATCCAGATAAAATGCCAAAAAGAGGTCAAAATATGCAAAAGTAGCTCTTACTATGCATGGTGATAAATACTGCAAAATCAGCGAAATCAGTCATTAATCGCTTTAAAATGTAAATTATAACTTGAACCTTGTTACTTTCCTTAATATTTTAGTATATTTTTCTCAAACTTGATTTTCTTGAAATATTTTGGCCCATCTGGAGGCATGCAGCTTTAAACATTCTCTGTTTTCCATTTTTCTTAAATGTTATGTTTTTTGCTCCAATGTTTGATATTTTGTAAATGGCAGAAAACCTTGGGGTTTAGCAATGTATGTTTTATTAATTTGTTCCTATGTTTTTAATGTTAACAAATTTTATATTTTACTAATACAATCTTTGGTGCAAAAAATTTCCATTGTAATTTGATTGTTTTAAATTACTGTTTGTAGTTTTTGTTGATAAATGATTTCATTTAGTTTTTTGTTTATGCATGTATTCAAATGTTTTAAATATGTTAAACACTTTTTTAAGACCATTTTATTAAAATAGTATTTTTCCATTATTATAAAAGTATTTATTGTAAGCGTATTTTTGCACACTAGCTTAGGAATAATTTTCTTGTTTCATTCAATATACAATGTACAGTGTTTCTTTTAAAAAGTAGCTTTAACTAGATATTTAAAGACTGAATTGAAGCAGATTAAATGTAATAGAGTTGGTAAGTGAACAGCATGGATCCTGATCGCAAACCCATTTTGATTACCCGGCTCAAATGTCTTTACTTAAAGGTACAACTGTGACATGCATGAGACATAAAGCTTTCAAATATGTTTCCTGTTATATCCAAGGTTTGAAAAAGTTGTCAGTATGGTGTTTTATTTACTAATTCAAGTGTGTTAGAAACCTTACATACATGTGGTGGGCATTATGTGTGTGCAACACCATTATTTTATGTGTAGATGGGGACCATCAGTAATATTTTACCACTTACATATCCATACAGGCTGTGCCAGTCTTGTGTTACAGAATTATCCATTGTTCTTTTTTTTAAAGAATGTATGTTTTTTAAACTGTTTGTTTGCTTAGAGCAGTTACAATAGCCTTTGCAAAAGAGCGTGGTACCAGACAAAATGTTGATTACCAGGTACTTATCATTTTTACAGTTGTCCTTGTTGGATAACATTTTTATTTTTAAATCCAAGAGATGACATTTTTAAAGCATACAGCAATTTTCCCAGAAAGGAAAGTTTTAAATATGAGGAAAAAGGTTTGATTAATGAGTCACATTAGGTAATGAACTGTTATTTTTTAAGAACAAGGGAGTTAACTATGTGAAAATTACGAGTAAATGACTAGTAGCAGTTGTCTTTTCATAATTATGATTTGTTGTAGTACATCATTAAAATACCTTTAGATTTTATTTAATAAGTTTCAAAATGTTGTGTTACACAGAAATTGTAAATAAGAAATATGGCATAATCTATTAATCCAACAAGTTTTTTTTTTTTATCTGAAAGACCTCTTCTGTTTTGAAATAGATTAAGTTCTTGGTTTTTTATGTCACTGTGAAATCATACCGCCATATATTTTTCCTTTCTTTGCCAAAAAATCATATGCTATGTAAAATTGAAATTCATTGAACATTTTAAAAAAACATTTACTCCAGTTACTAGCGAGTATCTTTAAACAATTTTCATTCGATTGATTTACAGTTCCAAAGTTTAATATCCAAAGTTTAATATCGAAACTAACAATAGCCTAAGGTATTGCTTCAACTGCTTGAACTGAAAATGATAAGCGTTTGCCACCAGTATAAAGCCAGGCCAGCCTGCACATTTGATGCATACTGACCAGGCTCTAAACTGCTGGAAGCTCAATGTTTTTGTATTTTGATATTGAAATCCCTTAATTTTTCAATGGAGTGTTCCAAATTCAAAGCAGGGCAAATCCATTACACAAAATTCAGCAAGTTAAAGCTGCATGCCTCCTGATTCATGAAAAATTTGAAAATATATTAAAATGTAAAATATTGTGAAGTGAACAAAGGAAATAATTTTCACATTGCAAACAGCACTTACAATCCATCTAAATTATCCCCCAAATAAGTCAACGTATGCAAAAAATAGCTTTTATTGTGATAGTAATGCAGTAGAAATATGGTGAAACATACTGGAAAAAAAAATGGGGTAAAAACGCACATAACACAGAAATTATTACTTAATACTTTTTATCTTGAATCTGTTTGCTTTTCTTAAAATCTGAGTACATTTTTCTCAAGTTTGATTTTCTTGAAATATTTTGGTTCATCTGGAGGCATGCAGCTTTAAGGTTGAACGCTTTCAATATTGTTAATAATTCAATCACTCCATTCATTTTCTTTTATTTTCTATGATTTGTTTGAGGTGTTGTCATACATTTTGTATTACACTAATATTTGTTATTGAGGACACTTTATCATCAGATTTGTTATTGTATCTTATTTATTCGGAAAAAAGAAACCAGATTCGCTGTGCGAATTCTTTATATTCTTTTTTTTCCCATTCTTTTTAGGTATTTTCAATAAATTCTTTGGAAATGCTAGTTTTGTTTGTCTTTACTACAGTTCCCTTATCCTGTAACAGTTCCCCCTTTGCTGCTTTGTTCAATAAGAAGAGCTTCGGAATAGTAGTCCAGGGGTCGATGGTTTGATCCTTGGGCGCAGACAAAATTTCTCCATTGCAATCGGCCTTAACTATTACTTGGTAATTATTCAGGAAAGCTGGGTAGGTGGATTGGCAGACATAAAAACATTAATAAAAACACAAACAGTTCCGCTTTCCTTGAAAATTGCTCAGACCTCAATTCATGATTCCAAGATTTAAGATTTTGGTCTACTATTATGAAAATATTTCACCACAAGGAAAGCCGGGAAGTACAATATGAACTTAACAGTGCCAGCGTGCCTTAACCACACCCCCAAACCCAATAAAAATCTGAAACAACAACAAAATAGCAAACTATGGAAAAGAATTTGACATCCTCTTGTGACTGACGCGTTGCCACCGTTTATCCTGAAGAATCGTAAGGGGCGACTAAATGGGTTTGAATAACTGAAATCTATGCATCTCTTAGCTCTAGCAGATGAAATGGTTTTGGCCCCAGGTGTTGCTTTGAAGTTTGTAACACCCGAGGTAACCAAAAAATCACCTTTCCTGTTTCGACGCCATATAACCTATAACGTTTTGGTGCGCAGTAAAACCAAACAAATCAAACAGTTGACAATTTAAAGTTTGTGCCATTGCCTGCCCAATACGCGAAATCATTGTCATATCATTATCATCATCATCACCACTATCATCTTCTTTATCCATGGTTCATACAGACTTCTCATACATAAATTTAGGGGCTTTAGGACCTTTATTACTAAATTTAGGGCTTAATTTTCATGACATAAACATGAGTCTGATTTGTAGTTCTTTGTTTATCATACAACAGTTAACTCCTTTAAAGTGATCTCCTTCAATAAGTAATGCTACCAAGTTACTTAACAATGTGCCGCATTAATTATTGCCATGATGATGGGCTAATATATAGAGGATATTGAATGAGAGTAAGTTCAATACTGAATTTATTGCACGAGTTGAATAAAATTATATTATGCGAGCCTCTGGCGAGCATAATATTATTTTATTCAACGAGTGCAATAAAGTCAGTAATGAACTTACACGAATTTAATATTCTATTTATCACATACCCAAAATAAAGACCGTTGAAAGTAAAAAAGAGTCATTTTTCATTGACGCGCCTATAGAATAACGCTAACATTTAGCGCGTCTTTACACTATGATTGTATAACGCTAATGACGTCACGTCAAAATATATGCACGGCCGTGCAATACCATATTTACGGAGTCGCAAAATCGGCACGGGTGTGTG